GACAGTTCATGTAGTCGTCACGTTAATGTTCACAGTTACAACACAGTAAAACAGGGAGACAGTTCATGTAGTCGTCACGTTAATGTTCACAGTTACAACACAGTAAAACAGGAAGACATCTCCAGTAGACGTCACGTTAATTTTCGCAGACACAACACAGTGAAACAAGGTGACATAAAACTAAATTGACAAGCAAAGTTAGCCAACGGGTAGCAAACATTTAAAATAACACTAAATGGGCGGGTAAAGTTAGCCAACAGGTATCAAACATTTAAATTAACACTAAATTGGTAAGCAAAGTTAGCCAACAGATAGTAAACATTCATAATAACACTAAATTGACAAGCAAAGTTAGCCAACAGGTAGCAACTATTCAAAGTAACACTAAATGGACAAGCAAAGTTAGCCAACAGGTATCAAACATTTAAAATAACACTGAATTGGTAATGAAAGTTAGCCAACAGCTAGCAAATATCCAAAATAATACTAAACTGACAAGCAAAGTTAGCCAACAGCTAGCAAATATTCAAAATAACACTAAATGGACAGGCAAAGTTAGCCAACAGGTAGCAAACATTTAAAATAACACTAAATTGGTGAGCAAAGTTAGCCAACGGGTAGCAAGTATTCAAGATAACACTAAATTGAAAAGCAAAGTTAGCCAACAGGTAGCAAATATCCAAAATAACAATAAATGGACAGGCACAGTTAGCCAACAGGTAGTAAACATTCCAAATAACACTAAGTGAAACTTCAGTAGGTATTTTGTATACTATCGGCATATATATATCTATACAAAAACAAAAAACAAACCGAGACCAAAATATTGACAAATATTACAGCTCTTACTCTCAGTCATTTTTTTACGTTATTAGTAAAACTCGAATAAGAAGGTTACTCTTACAGAGGTAAGTCTATGAATTTACAACGCTAAAATCAGGGGTTCGATTCCCGTAAGTGGACACAGCAGATAGCCCAATGTGGCTTTGCTATGAACAACACATACACACTTAACTCAGTGATAAAATTGGAACGCACTGGATTTTGTTTAACCAATTATAGAAACAATTATTGAAAAATTAAAAAGGTACAAATATTGCTCAACATTTTGTGAAATATAACGTATATTTGGTATTAGTAGTGATAAGTGTTAGAGCGGTATATTGAAAAACAAATGAAGCAACATATGCTCCATATTTCCAATTAAGTTAAGCCTAATATCACGGGAAAATACTATATCAATGGCATGATAAAATTCCAGACCGAGAGAGCAAAACAAACTAACATAGAATTTACACAAAGAAATATAAAAAATATTATATTTATACTAGCGAAATTATTTGGCTTCACTCGGGTTATTAGGTTGATACTGTTTGTATCCTGAACCAATTTTAGCATAAAAGTATAACCTATATACTTTTATTGCTAAGCAACATGACATAAAAGCCATTGTTAGAAAGCATTGTTACCAAAACGAACTGGCTTTTCTATATATATTAGAACTGTTATTTAATAAGGGTAATACTTAGAAAGAAATCAATGGAACTGTCTAGACCTCTGTTTAAGCAGCTGTCTATATTAAATATTAAGGAGATTTTTTTTTTATAAGTGCATTGATTAGACTACTGGATGGTAGGACACACCCGGTAAAGCGGCTAAGTTCTTCTCCTAGGTGATTCATATAGACCCTTAACTACTCCCCGTGTGTTGTCAGAATGATAACAGTAGGACTTAGATATTGGTGTTTTGTGTGTGGGAAAGTTTTTAATACACTTCCGGAACAAATACGTACAATTAATAAACCAAAACAATTAAAAACAGTTTAAAAAGTATTTTATCGATTTGAATTAGAAACAAGAGGTGAATAAATAATTGGAGATAAGTACACAAATAAATATAGTAAATAACAATTAATAGAAAGAAATAACTAAGCCTAAATTGAATAAATTATAGAAATATTAAAGATTTTAATCTGAAATCTTATAATAATTAATTACAAGAAGTATCTTTATTTTTATAAATAATCATGCAATTACCAGTTCAATTTAAACAGTACCTATTGTTAAGTATTTATTTAAGAGACAAGCCTAACTATATTGAGTTTATCTTCTTTTTTTTTTCAATGTATGAAGTACCTACGTTCGTATGTAGTTATACTGAGACAGGGTTCTAAGCCTTAAAGTAAGAGGTAATTTCCAATAAATTTTATTTTTGTATTAGTGATGTACAATAACCCAGTAAAGGATTTATAACAAAAAATGTTATATCTATTTATGCCTCTAGTAGTATCCACTCATCTTTTCTCTTTACATATAAGTAACTTGAGATCAGAAACAACTTCATGTGGAAAAATCAGACTTCGTATAAGTTTAAAATTCGGAGACAGAAGGAAATGATTAGATTTTCAATAAGGTTGCAAGTATCATGAAACGTTACTGGAACTTATGATTCCGTAACGTTACTTGAAAGTAAACTAAATACGTCGGACTTTTGTCACAAAAAATGATATGCAAATAAACCATCATGAAATAGATGTATTTATAACTACATATTCATTTGATGGAATTATTTCTCACCATATAGATTAAAGCAATATGCGTATTAATAGAAAGAAAAAATGCTATAAAAATTTAATGACCCCCCCTCCCGTAGCTCAGCGGTAAGTCTGAGGGAATATAACGTTAAAACTTGGGTTTCGATACATGCGGTGAGAAGGGAACAAATAGCTCGTTGTATACTGTTTTGTTTGTAGTTAAGCACAAAGCTATACAATGGGCTATCTGTGCTCTGCCCACCACGAGTATCGAAACCCGGTTTCTAGCAATGTAAGTTCGCAGACATACCGCTGTGTCACTGGGGGACCTCATTGTATAGCTTTGTGATGGACAACTAGTAAAAAACAATATTTTAAAGTATAAAAGTGGAACATAAATAAAGCATGTAAATTATCACGCATATAAACGAATATATATTTGCTTTATTACTTTTTCACTGCGGGAATACAACTTGTATTCCTCATTGGTCTGTTATATGCATGTACAAAAAACGTCCACAGCAATGACCGTCCTATTTTTAAGTCGATTTTTTTAAATATTAATACGGTTATCCTTGTATAGCAGCGACTCTTCTGATTCAATGAATCCAAACAACCATACATATTGTTTGTAGACATGTAGGTGTAAAGGTTATGCTTTAACAGTCAATCACACATGGGAATCCACGTGCTATGCCACGAAACCTGTGATAGCGAAAGAGGAATGAATAACCAATGAAAACCAAGCTTTATTGTATGTGTTCTCAAATAAATGTAGTTTTGCTTACATTATGTACATATGTACGTTATTAACTGTTGTCGTGAGTTAACAGTGATTACAAACTCTTGTTGAATATATATATATTCTGAACAAATGACAAAATGTTTTACGATACATATTTGGTTGCACAGTTATAGTTAATACAGCGAAAACGCTATCATGTTCATTCTAACAAATATAGATAATTATCGAGCCTTTTCTAGCTTTCATTATTATCTTAATGTCCGAAATAACTCGATTAAAGCATTCTATATATAGATATATATTCGTAGAATGGAATAGACGTTCACCTTATATTTTATTTTCTATTAATGATAACGTAGATTGAAGTTTCATGTTATATTATGATGCCGAAACGTGCTGTGGAAAACGCTACGCATAAAAACAACAACAACATATTTTCTAGCATTCTGACTCTAAAACAAAACGATGATATTCAAAACAATTTCACATTTTTCATAAAACTAGACTTAATGATTTAATTTCCCTTTAGGTCTTGGAATGTATGCATTAATATTCTAGGTAATAAAATCTATAATATGCTCATAACAGTTAACATATATTATTTTCTGTTTTCTGGCTCAAATAAAATTGTAGAAAGAGTTAACTTACGGGAATGGAATGTAATTATTATATTTAATAACACAGAAAAAAATGTGATATTTCATTAAAAACCCAAAGGTTTGTCGAAATACATTTATAATACAACGTTTTCTGTATTTCATATTGACAACAAAATTCAAGAGTTTTCCAATGTAATACTACATTCATTGAGAACCCAAAGGTTTGTCAAAATACATTTATAATACAAAGTGTTATGTATTTCATATTGACAACAAAATTCAAGAGTTTTCCAATGTAATGCTACATTCATTAAGAACCCAAAGGTTTGTCGAAATACATTTATAATACAACGTTTTATGTATTTCATATTGACAACAAAAAAACCCAAAAGTTTGTCGAAATACATTTACTATATAACTTTTTAGGTATCTCATATTGACAACAAAATTCAAGAGTTTGTAATGCTACATTCAAGTTTTGAAAAAAAGTTATATTTATTGCTTATTGAAATTGTATTGCCTTAATTACACTCACAATGATTCTAGCTGAGATAACTCCGTGAAAGCATCTTCTCCAATCACTTCCAGGCTGTTATAAGCTAGATCGCTATGTAAAGAAAGCGATTAAAATTTACTTTTATATTAGGAAGTTAATAGGAAACTGTTAAGTTAGTTAAAAAACGTAATATTTACAAGTTATAAAACACTTATCTTTTAAATATTTTTTTTTAGTTTTTACTGTACATTTTAAATTACTTAATCATAATTTTTTTGTCAAGTATTTTCTCTTTGGCGTTATGGACCATTTGTGTTTACCTAACAATGATTTCTATTCACTTGTATCTTTTATAGTCGGTTTTGGTTGTCTGTTCACACGATTAATACTTAAATCAGCACCAATACCTTTCAAAATGATAATGATGTGTGTGATCTTTTGTACGGTATTTTATAATATCTTTAGATCGCAAAACAAATTGAAATATAAAAACAGATCACTCAATAGGGAGACTTTTCAAGAACCAATTGCTGTAACTTATGAAAAACAGATCTCCAAATAGGGAGACTTTTCAAAAACAGGTAGTTTTAGCAAGTAAAAAAAATCTGATCGTCAAATAGAGAGACTTTTCAAGAACCCATAGCTTAACCTAACATAATTAAATGATTTAGAAATTTGGTATTGAATTTCTTGAATCTTCATAAAATATACTTCTGTGCATCATCATGTTCCATACTGTGAAAAATTAATCATGATTTTCTCATAAATCACTTTCAAGTAAACATAAATTCCTAACACACATTAAAGGCCAGTGCAACACGTACTTCTATTGATCAATAACTAAATTTGTTTTACTTACAGATGAAGGAGGAATAGCATGTTTCCAAAAGGTGTGTCTTTTAATTTGCGGATCCTATTATGGGCAAGATTTCTGTAAAAAAAAAGAAATATTATTGAGACATTGTACTAACAATAAGCAAAATTTTATGCAACTTTTTATATAATATTTTTGCACGTTTAAACTTTGCACACTTTTTGCTTTTGGATATTCGCGTAAAACTATTCACGAGCTATCTGAAGTGGTAGCTTAGACGTATTTATTCAGTAACACCCACCGCCAGCTCTTCGTCTACTTTTGTCTGACCGAATAGTGGAATATGACCGTCACCCTTATAACGTACCCACAACCTCAATGTACGGAGCGCTACCTTTTCCTTAGTAACGGGACGCGAACAGCGGATCTGCAATTCCATAGTCTACAACACCAATCACGGCCCATCTTGAGAGTAAATCTGACTTTCATTTGGTGTTAGCAAATAAAAACAAATACTACAGGAACGTATTAAATAAATAATAGACGAAATCTAAAAGTTTGAAAACTCATTTCTTTTTTAAACAGCTACATATTATTATTGTCTAAATATATGAATACTCACAAGACATGTAAGTTCTTAAGTCCTAGGAACACTGACGTTTCTAAGGACTGGATCTGGTTCCGTGAGAGGGATCTACGTGAGTTAATAGAAAATGTTTTCAACTTTAAATGAAACGCAAACTTATAAATAGACAAACAGAAAGAGTGATCCATAGATACATAGATTGACATGACAGTTAAAACTGTGATAGTACTCACAAGGTTTTTAAACTGGAAAGTTTTCTAAACGTATTAGGTTGAAGTTGTTGTAGCTCGTTCCCGTCCATCCACCTGAAGGTATTAATCAACGGAGTTATATGATTAGTTATACTCATAAATAAGAGTAAAGATCGTAAGTTGTAATTACACTATAATTATAGCGAAATGAACATTGACATCAACCATTAAATCGAACGTTTTTATTGTACATCCATACTGGTCCGTCCAAAATGTCCACTCTTGGATATTTATTGCGCTAATCATAACCTAAATCTTAGCTAGTGTGTTCTATTGAAACATCTGGGTGTTTGATACACTGTGCTAGTTTAAACCGAGTGCTTCGGAATAGTGTTCTACATGAAGTATAACTTTCCTGATATTTGTTCATTGGAAATATGTGAAATAGTGTTGTTGATGAGTGCTGGTTAATTAGAATTATGCAAAATATAATATTATTTATTTGAAGTCGAGTTGTGATTGCTATAAAACGTTTATTAAAATTCAAAACCCGGACCTGAATTTACTATTTTAATTCATGGGAGTTATTAAGAATTTCAGCAATATCCTAAATACAATCATAAAAAAAATATTTAAAATTTGCCGATTAATTAAGAAATCTTGAGAACTTAGTCTACCTAAAACTTTATCAAGAAAATCAATCTCTTAAATACATTTTCATTAGAAATATAACCTTTATTAAAATCAATATGACATACTCATGCACGATTTATCACTTTTTTATCCATGGACAAGAAGCCCAGAAATATTAGCTCATAAGAACTTACAACTGATTGAGCGAAGTCAGAGGATTAAATATCCCGGATGCAACAGATTTCAGTTTGCACTCCCTGAGATCCCTGGAGAATATGTAAATTAAATCACAAAATCAACCATATAACAACAGAGTTAGTTTTAAAACTAGACTATGAATATCACTAAAGCACCAGCTTATTTGGGACATCCTACAAAATAATTGAAAACGGAATGCATAAAAACACTTGAAAAGTTAAATACTTACAAACGCTTTAAACTTGATAAGCCTTGGAAAGCACCGGGAGAAATATCTTGTAAAGGATTGTAAGATAGATCGCTGAAAATAAAGAATACATTTTAATAATACAGATAGGTTCTAGAGCAAGGGGCCTCCAACAATGCCTTGAAAGGCCAAATTCGAGTGATGAACTTATCCATATTGATTTGACTGTTTATTACTAAAATCGTTAATCCAACAGATGTAGGTATTACTTATAATAATCTCATAATCTGGCTTATTGTTAACCAGACGAACGATGATTAGATTATTTGTTTCCTTTTATTATGCCCCCCTGTGGCACAGCGGTATGTCTGCGGACATACAACGCTAGAAACCGGGTTTCGATACCCGTGGTGGGCAGACCACATATAGTCCTTTGTGTAGCTTTGTGCTTAACTTAAAAAACAAACAAACCTTTTATTATATCAAGTTATCGTTCAAAGCTTTTAGATAGGATTAGGTAAGTTTAATTTATCAGTGTTATAATGTAAACTAAACAAAATAGACAGACAGATGGATAGATAATGTAAAAAAGGTTTAGCTAAAACAGAGCTGGATAAAAAGGTACCGTTCATAAGATAGGATATGCTACTTTTGGATATAATTAGTGTACTTACAGTTTAGTTAAAACAGAGCTGGATACAAAGGTATCGTTCATAAGATAGGATATGTTACTTCCGAAGATAAATAGTGTACTTACAGTTTAGTTAAAGCGGAGCTGGATACAAAGGTATCGTTCATAAGATAGGATATGTTACTTCCGAAGATAAATAGTGTACTTACAGTTTAGTTAAAGCGGAGCTGGATACAAAGGTACCGTTCATAAGAAGGATATGTTACTTCCGAAGATAAATAGTGTACTTACAGTTAGTTAAAGCGGAGCTGGATACCAAAGGTATCGTTCATAAGATAGGATATATTATTTCCGGACAAATGTCTGGAAAAAACAAAATGCAACATCCGTAAGTAAAACACTTTGTTTATAAAGATAATTGCAATAAAAAATTAAATTTAGCTTATCTAAGCAGATGAAAAATAGGTAGTATGTTTTATATAGTTATATATAGAAATAACAGGTTATATTCGTTGCCATGGTTATTAATCTAGACGATCACCTAAGTCAAATAATTAAATAGTAACTTTTTAAATGAAAATATAATTTTAATAAGTATTAGTTAGGTTTTATCTTGCTTTTCTGTTACTAATCTCAAGAAAGTCCTGAGAAGGATTATTCTCTGTTGGTAATAGCCGGATTCGATCCTGGAAGTCTGGCGCGTTATCCACTCGATTAGGGTATTAGGACTTCTCTTAAGATTATCAGACAAATTATCAGCAGATTATCAGACAAATTATCAGCAGATTATCAGACAAAACATAAAAGGAAACTAGTTAATAATTAGTATCGACTTATTAAAAGAAATTTAACAATTAATAATTAGACTTATGTAATTGTATGGGCTATTAATCATCACAGCGTTTGATATCCGATCGCCACAGCCTTACTACAAGTATTTAAAATGACCTATTGTTAGCTTTATATGATTTAGGTTTGTTCACGAAGAAAATCAGAAACATTTATAAACACGCCGTAAAAAGTTAAAGATCTTCCGAATACCAATATTTAAACATTAAAGATAACCAACAGACACGTAGACATCACACACACACAGTCGGCATTGGGATTAAGGTCTTAGCTAGTTTACAGCTGAATATCTTTTAATTACAACATGATGGTCAGAGGTTATGCTATTGCATTTACTCTGACCCCTTTCAAGACCATGTCCATGTATGGTAGTCAAGAAAATATTCAATACGAGGAACACATTTTCTCTTTGTTCGTTATTACGTAAAAGTCACACACATCGCGAACAGTTCCAATTGCATATTGCCTTAGATTTGGTTTGTTTTTGAATTTCGCGCAAAGTTACACGAGAGCTAACTGCGTTAACCATTCCTAATTTAGCAGTGATAGACTAGAAAGAAGGCAGCTAATCAACACAACCCACCACCAACTCTTGGGCTACATTTTTACCAACCAATAGTGTGATTGACCGTCACGTTACGACACCCCCACGGCTGATTAATTCGAACTCGCAACTTACAGATTTTGAATCGAGCACTTTAACCACCATGCCATGCCAGGCCTGTAGTCTTAGATATAACGATGAGACCAAGACTTGAAGTAACTTTTGCATGTATATACATGACCATTAAATTATACCTATTTATTGCTGCTCTGAAAAAATCTCTCTTTTTATCTTCTCCGTCAAGGTTTTGCAGTAAATGAAATGAGTGGTCTGGTCTATTATAGCTTTGTTTTTTTACCAAATCTAAGGGTTTTATTTCTCTACATGGCCCGGCATGGCCAGGTGGTTAGGGCGCTTGACTGACAAGCTGCGAGTCGCGGGTTCGAATCTCCGTCCCACCAAACTTGCTCGCCCTTTCAGCCGGGGGGGGGGCGTTATAATGTGACGGTCAATCCCACTATTCGTTGGTAAAAGAGTAGCCCAACAGTTGGCGGTGGGTGGTGATGACTAGCTGTCTTCCCTCTAGTCTTAAACTGCTAAATTAGGGATGGCTAGCGCAAATAGCCCTCGTGTAGCTTTGTGCGAAATTCAAAAACAAACAAACAAACAATTTATCTACATAGAATGTTAATTCATCTTTTGTAAATATAGATACGAAAACTAACACAAATTAATGAGCAACTTGCTCTTTGGATTAAATAGACAATTACAATGTGACAGTATCTGTACGAATACACAAAATTGCAAGCGTATAGAAAAAAGTCAAATACTCAACGCAAAGTCTCATAACATAAAGCATGTGTGACAATGGGAACCTAAAAAGCTCTTTTACAAAAGTCATAAAAAGTGGTACTATCACTTTCACGACATAAAAACACATCTATTGTCACTTTCAATTAATGTGTGGATGTATAATTAGAAAAGCTAGACAAATTCACCGTAATTCGCTACGAAGTAAAGTCATTAGTTACTTATTTGAAGAAAATCGGAATTAAATAAACGCACAAGTCATTTTGAGTTGGAAATTACACCTTACTCTGAACAACGCTTCACAAAATGTAAATTCGTAATTAAAGGCCTTTAATATATATATATATGAATTAATTAGACGTTTCCTTAATAACACCACAGCCATGGAACTGTACGGAAAAAAGGAAGAGGCTTTATGGAAAGCTTGAATCACGAAAATGTGCAATATATTTGAACGAGAAATTCTCTAAAGTAACATAAGATCTTAT